TTTTTTGTGTGGTGGGGATGAGTGGGAGGGACACAGTGTGGATTTATGGGATTAAATTGATATTGGAAGGAAAGAACAGGGTGGGGAAGGAAAAGAGTCAACAGATTGTACTGAATGGAATGAGGTCAAATCCTCTGAGAGAGGAGAGGAGCTGCACTGACATCTGGGTGTATCTTTGGAAAAGGGGTTTTGTTGAATCAGAGTGCGCCTGGAAAAATGACAGTAATGCAGATTACTGGAATGAGATAATGTGCAACCATAAACTATGTATTGCTGCAGACACTTTAAATTGTAACAGATGGTGACAGTTTTTAAATTTAAATCTGAGTTTCAGATATTCTTGTGTTTTCAAATAATATTTTGTGTAGTACAGTTGCAAAAAAAAAACCCATGCATACATGACAGAAGTTAGAAAACAAAACTTAGAAAAAATGTATTTCATTACCGCCCTCCCTGTGAGCGGGTTCAGAGTGATGTACAACGTTCATACGGAAGTACATTAGAACAGTCTAAAATACCAAGCCATAAAACCTAACATCTGCATGGTGTCATAGAGCAAAATTTCAAATCTCCGTTTTACATTAACATGGGGGGGGCAGGAGAGGGGAGAGGAAGCAGCTAATAGGCCGGTTGCTGTTAAAACTGTTGTTGTCCTCACCCATATGCTTGGTGGAACATCTCTGCCTCACAGGCTCTGTGGAATTGTAATAAATCCCTGATTTTAGTAGACAGACAGTTCCACCAAGTTGGCCCTGCCTCTGATTGAGGACAGCTGGATGCAGTTGTACCCAAGGAGAGCCCTGGCATAAAGAGCCCAACAAAACACACAGTGTAGCAAGGCACACAAAAGCTCATGCCTTGAACAAAACTTTGTTGGTCTTAAAGGTGCTTGGTATTTCTCCCGAGCAATTGAGGCAGACCAACAAAAGCAAGCTTTCCCTCGATTCCTCCTACCCTTCAGGAAGGAGCCTCAGCCAGTGGAAGGAAAGAAAGGCTTCTCTTTGTCTCCTGCAGCCTTGCCAAGAAGCAAGCTCCAACTATTCCCTCCCTCCCCGGGAGAAGGATCAGCCAGTTCTTTACCAGACTCTCTCAATCGCACAGGAGAGGCTTGCTTATTTATCTCTCCTGTGTGACTGAGAGAGACTGGTAAAGCAAACTGTGACATGGCAGCAGCAGAACTGGAAAAGGAAGCAGGAAACAGCCAGGGCCTTGCGGGCTGGATTGGGGCCCTCCGAGGGCCTGATTCGGCCTGTGGGCCATGTGTTTGGTCAAAACCAGATACTTGAACCTGACCTGGTACTCAATCTGGAGCCAGTGCAGCTGGTGAAGCATAGGTTGTATTGTGTGCAGTGTCCCCGTAAGACCCAAGCTGCTGCATTCTGAAAGACGTGTAACTTCTGGACCGCTGTGGCCCGGGGGAGACCAGAAGACGCTCCCCACCGCCTCCCCGGGCCAGCACCAGGGCGGGGTAAGTGAGGGATCTGCAGGGGGGTTGGCGGAGGCTTGATTGGGGGAGTGGGGTGGTGGGAGAGCCGCCCCCCATCTCTTTGCCCTCTTTCTTTCTCTCCTTTCCTTCCCTTCCTTTTCTTTTTCTCCTTTTCTTTCTCTTT